TACATGTTGTTTTAGATATTCTTCAAATGGTGATAAAACTCAAAAGGAATTGGACTAGATGAAACTACTTTATTAATGATTAAACATCATCTCCAATCAGCTAAGGACTAGTTTTTTATTTATTTATTTATTTATTTTTTTTTTGAAAAGAACTAAGGATTAGTTTGGTAGAGTGGGAAAAGTTTTTGTTTTCTATTTGTGCTCTAAGAAGACAGGTGTGTCGGCAGGGGGAGGAAGATGACTTCTGAAATATTTTTATTTTGTATGGTCTCGTTCGCTTCACGGATTCAAGTTTTCAATTTGAGCTGAGATGTGATATTTTTTAAGAGTTTTTAACTGTAACAAAAAAAATAGATGTTACATTTTCTGAGAATTTTTAACTGTAAAAACTTAAAACTGAAAACTCGAATCGATAAAATGAACGAGACATATTTCTCTCTCCACTTCTAATCCGGTGATGTTCATGGACCATCCTAATCCTTGGAAGGCAATACCATTTAATATTGTTGCACAAAAATTTCCTAATAAGGAGACGCCCTCGTAATGTTATCTTTGAAGCTTTAAGCATTAATGTAAATATCGCATTAAAATGGGACATTTAATTCCAAGTATAAATTCCAATTCAACCGTTCAAATTTGAATTTGAAGCTAATTTATGGATAATGATAATTAAAGTGGAGCTATAGCATTTTAGTAGCGTTAACTCTTAAAAAAAAAAAAAAAAAAAAAAAAAAAAAAAAAGGAGGAGTCCTAACTGCCTTGCATGCAAAAAATTTGAAATTTTAGTAGTGTTAACTGCTTTTAAAAAATTAAAATAAAAGTTTAAATAATAAAAAAACATTCCATTAAAAATAAAATAATAAAAAAAAAACTCCCACAAGCATGCAAAATTTAAAGCTCGCCCACCGTGGGGCTCGAACCCACGACCACAAGGTTAAGAGCCTTGCGCTCTACCAACTGAGCTAGACGGGCAGTTGATGGTAGCTGATGGTGCAACATGTACTAAATTTGGTACCTACTATTGTGTTTTCATCTTGTTTCCCAAGAAGACGTTTGACTCAAAATTTGCAGATGTGAGATTTGTAGGTTCAAGTAAATTAATTTTGGAAGAACTAATTCCCATATTACTCTCCGTCATTTCAATGAAAATTGTGCAATCATTTATGGCATTTGCAATGTGCTCAATCAGGTACATGTTTCATTTATTCAAACTCAAATCATTGATTTTACAACCGTATCTTTCTCTCATAAAAAATTTGAATTCCAAATAGATCCTTAATTATTTGCCTATACAACTCATATGCAAGGCGCAATTAAACCATCTCCAATACAAATACTAATGTCAATTGTATATTTAACATAAAAAAGTGTGATATGATATGTTATTTTCATTTTTGCTTGAGTGCATAATACTATTTAAAATGATAAATCTATTTTTTTTCCATAATTAACTTTGAAAAAAGTTCTAAAAGTAAACTTTTATTTTTAAAATAATTAGAAAATATAAAAGCTGTAATGATTACGTAAAAAAGTAAACATTTCAACAAATAACAATCAAATGCTAAATTTTTCATCTTGTATACTTAGTAAAAAATTTGTCATAAAATATCGCATATGAGAAATTTGGCACAACAAATAATATTGAATTAGAGAGTAATTTTTTTTTATACTTAAATATTTAATTTGTAATTGGCACATCAATTATAACATTGCATTGAAGATCCTTTTAGAACTTCTAATAAATCTAAAGAATAAACTACAAAAACATTTTTAATTAACATTTAAATAACAAACAAGATATTTTTTGAAAAAAAAATAGAAATATCACTCAAGATGGTAAAAAAATATTATTTACGTCACTCTACTCAAAAATAACAATTATCATTCAATTAATAAAAAAATGTCATAATGGCACCCAATTATTTAAAATGATATAAATAATAGACATGCATAAAATCACGATAAACTATGTACTTTTCTCAATTTTTCTTTGAGAAAATTATTGAACTTACTCTTAAGTTTGAATTTTTATCATTTACTGTTAATTAATACTCTTTTAACTAAGAAATTATTTAATTAAAAAAATATTAATCAATAATAAAAATAAAATTCTAAACTTTGTACACTCTTTTTAGGTGGAAAATAAAATAATCGTCTTCTTTCCTTTTCCTCATTTTTTGGTGGAAAATTTGGAAACTATGTAGTTGGGTTTCCCAAAGTGGACACAGCCACAAGGGGGCAAAACCGCATTGGGTCATCACTGGGAAATACTTCCTCTGGCTCCTCTTATTGCCAAGCCCAAGATTTTTTTTTAAAGATAAAATTTCATTTAATTAAAAAGTCTTATAGACACCAATTATAATGCAAATGATCTTGTGGCACAAATATAAGACACTCCATAAAAACCGAACGAAGATTTTCTTACCACAAACGAAGCTGGAAAAACAATACTAATAATCTTACCCAAAAAAAAAATGCTAACAACAAAAAGAAAAAACATCAAATGTTATAGCAAAATGTATTTAATACCTTATGTTTTTTATAATATCAAGTAGACACCAGGATTTTTTTTTTTTAAATGTTTTCCTAGTATCCCGAGACAGTTTTTAGCATATAAAAGATAACAAAGTTGCCCTTATTACTAATTTCCCATTTGGTTGATTATCTTGTAATTAGTTTGTAATTTCGTTTATTAGCTTGCAATAATTTCGTAGCATGTTATTTTCCACGATCAACTAATGAGAAGTTATTAATAAAAGATAAATTTGTCATTTTATGTCTAAAGACTGTCTTAGGGTACTTACTTAAAAGAAAATTTTAAAACGTCAAGGTACCTAATTGATATTATTAAAAATATAAGATATCAAATGAAAAATGCATATTTCGATATGTTAACATCGAGATACCTAATTGATAAAATAAAAAAATACAGGATACCAAATGTATATTTCAATTAACACATGGTTACCAAAAATGATATTTTCCCTAATAAAATTTTAAGATATGCGTCCTTTAATTCTCTCTCTCTTTTTTTAGGGAGTCCTTTAATTCTCTTTTAGGTCTTGTTCTTTTCATGATTTAAGTCATATTGTTATAATATTTTTTTTTCATAAAAATTTAAATTTTACTTTTTTATTACAATATTTTTCTCCCAGATACACAACTCAAATCATAACTTGATTTATGCAAATAAACGTACCCAATTTTGTGGTGTTATTTATTTACTTATTTTTAAATTGTGATTTTTTAATTTGATTTTAAAAGAGGAAGAAGGGAAATATAAAAATTTAGTGTGTGTTTGAAATCATTTTTAAAAACGATTTTTACTTATTTCAAAAAGTAAAAAATAAAAATAAAAACAATATTACATTTATTTAATAAATATTTTGAAAATGAAAAAGTGAAAATAATTTTTATAAAATAATTTTAAAATTAATCTTAAAATAATTTTTAAAATAATTGTATTTTTACTTTTTATTAAAAATAAAATAATTTTAAAACCAATTTTAAACGCACGTTCTGGTAAAGCTCTCTTAAAAAAAAAAATCCCGGTAAATATCGGAGCACGTAGAACCAATTATCAGCGCAAAGTGGTTAGCCAGATAGGTAAAGCTCTTAAAAAAAAAATCCCGGTAAATATCGGAGCACGCAGAACCAATTATCAGCGGAAAGTGGTTAGCCAGAGAGAGAGAGAGAATGGCGACATTTGTTGGAAACTTGTCGACGGTGGTTTTGCAGAGTCGACTGGCAAATTCCAGGAATCGTTTGATCAAGCCCAGCACACCCATTCTTAAGCGCCCTCTTCTCTTGGTTAACAAAATTCGAGCTTCTTCAACTTCAACTCTCTCCGTCGAAACCAACTCCACTGTACCAACTTTCTTTCACTTTCTAATTATTATCTTTAATTCTATTGCTCAGAAATTACTGTCAAGATTGCATAATCGATATGAATTTGGTGTTGCATTTGAATTTGTATGTTGACCTAAATTGTTCTTCACAGCAAGTTTTGTGCGCCTTAATATTGCACGAGTCGAATTTTTAGGGTAATTGGAATGGTGTTCGGTTAGTGTTGGCTTTATCGATTAATTAGTTTATATTTTAAACTTTTATATATATATATATATATATATATAGGATACTGTTGTAGTAGAAAATGAGGTCAGCTACAGCACCAAGAAGAACAACATTTTAGCTTGTCCCATTTGCTATGACCCAATGGCGTGGACCGGCGAGCTAGCCTTATCTGTGTATGTTATTAACACGTTGATTTCCTGTTTAGCTGTTTACTTTCTTTGTATTTTGCGTTTTTTGTTTTATGGTGGAACGGTTGAAAAGGTACGACAATACTACATCAATAATAATCGTAGATGATCAATATCAAGAGTATGAAATTTGCCCAAGACCATCGATCTATTTTCTAGCTGTAGCATGAGTAAAATAATATGAAAAATCATACCTATAGCAGTGTTTGAATTTACCATTGTCATGGCACAAACTGTCTAGATAAGAATCATAACTACAAGACAATTAGCAATATGAAATAAAACTATAAAGTGGTGAGGGTGATGAATTCACTCTCGTCTCTCCCCTCAATAGTCAGTAATCCACACTTCAATTATTACCATTTGTCAATATATGATGTATTCATAGGACACCAAAAATTTGCCCCAAGGCCTAAGCCTATTGAGCCAAGCCTAGAATAGTAGGGAGTTATTCAGTCCAACGCACTCACTAAGACATTTTGAGCAAGGTGAATATATGAGGAGCCTCATATGATAAAATAAATAAGTCCAACAAGTTCTGAAAGTCAAATCTGATAGAACCCCGGTTGATTCCCGGCATTTCTTTATTGATTTTCTTAGTGCTTGAAGTAAAATGACAGAAGTTACAGATAGGAGGAATTCGAGGTTCCTCTGCCTCCCTAGATCCAGACTACAATGGCAACTAATTTCCTGCCCACTCCCTTGCTTACCCGCCTATTAATAGTTCCCCCCCTCGATAAGTGAAACAAAACTAACTTGTAGCTAACTCCTATCCCCTGGACCCTTACGTGACCTCATAACAGAATTGCAACAGATTTGCCATGTCAGCACAACTTCTCAAATTTACACAGCTTCCCCTTAGGAAGTGGTTTTATCCAACTTGCTCCTCCTGGAGTAAACAAACTTGATAGGAGGGACTCTAACAACTCCCCCCCCCCCCCAACCCCCCCCCCCCCCCCCCCCAAGTACAACCTTGTCCCCAAGGTTGAATTTGGGAAATTGAGACTAGATGATGAAAACTGGTTCCCATGTGGCATCCGAATGGGGACGGCCTTCCCAGTGAACTAAGACCTCTGGAACTTGTTTTCCTCCAACGGGACAAACACGAAAATCCAGCCTGTGGAGTCCACTGATATGCTCCTTTTTTGAGCAGGTCAGTTAGTGGCTTGGCGATCATTCCATATCCCTCGACAAACCGGCAGTAATAGCCGGTTAATCCCAGGAATCCCCGGAGTTCTTGTGGTGTACGAGGAGTTGGCCATGGCAAAATTGCCTGTACCTTAGCAGAGTCCGCTGCAACCCCGACACTAGAGATAATGTGCCCGAGGTAGTCAATCTGGGAACGACCAAAAGAACATTTTTTGGAATTGGCATAGAGTTGCTCCCGAACCAGCGCTTGCAGAGCCAGCGCCAAATGCTTGCTGTGCTCCTCCCACGTTCTACTGTAAACCAAGATGTCATCAAAGAAAACTAATACAAATTTTCTTAAGTAGGGGCAGAATACCGTGTTCATCAAGGATTGGAAGGTGGCGGGGGCGTTGGTGAGACCAAAGGGCATCACGAGAAACTCGTAATGCCCTTCGTGGGTCCGGAAAGCTGTTTTCTCCACATCTTCCCCGCGAACTCTGATCTGGTGGTAGCCTGAGCGAAGGTCAAGCTTCGAAAAAACACTAGCCCCATGAAACTCGTCCAGCAATTCGTCGATCATCGGAATCGGAAACCGGTCCGGAATCGTGACCTGATTTAAAGCCCGGTAATCAACGCAAATCCGCCAACTACCGTCCTTCTTGACTAGCAATACGGGGCTTGAAAAGGGGCTGGTGTTGGGTCTAATTATGCCGGAAGCAAGCATTTCTCCCACTAGCTTCTCTATTTCCTCCTTCTGGATGTGGGGATACCGGTACGGCCGTATGTTGGGAGGAACAGCTCTCTGTTGCAGGACGATGTGGTGGTCTCTAGCCCGTCGTGGAGGTAGCTCCCCCGGCATTGCCTCCTGAAAACGCCTCAAAACTTCTTCTAGCCCCTGTGGTATCGTGTCTTCCTGCGAGTTTGTAACTTCGTTGGTCGCCAGGCTGATTTCCAACAGTATCCCTATTTGCTCCGAGTCCAAGGAGCGGGAAATGGTACGGAAGCTTACTCTGGAACAACAAAGTGTGGGGTCCTCTTGCAGACACACCCAACGACCATCGACTAGAAATTTAAGAGTAAATTATCCCCAATCAGCCCGCACCTCCCCCAACATCTTGAGCCAAGTTACCCTGAGAACTAAATCCACGTTTCCCAAGTCGAAGGCAAAGAAATTCTCTTCCACTCGATGCCCTTGAATCATTACAGTTACGTTGCGACACACCCCTTTCTGTTGGAATGTCAGTCCATTTCCAACCTGGATTTTGTGGCCCACTGATAGATCCAACGGAATTCCCATTTCCTTAACCAGAGGTGAGGCGATGAAGCTGTGTGACGCACCGTTGTCGATGAGAATGACTACCTCCCGTCCTTTGATTAAGCCCTTCACCTTTAAGGTCTTGGCCGACGAGCACCCGTTGAAGGAATTAAGGGATAAAGCAGCGATTTCAGCCACTGTTTGGTCCCTGGTTTCATGCTCCTCCAATCCCTGCCCGGAATCCTCCTCGCACTCCCGATCAGACTCCTCGTCCGTGAGCATCAACACCTGCAACGTTCGACTCTTACACCGGTGGCCGGGGCCAAATTTTTTGTCGCACCGAAAACATAACCCTCTCGCCTTTCGTTGTTGCAACTCTTCAAAGGACATGCGCCGGAACCCCGAGTCCCCGCCAGCATGGATTTTTCCAGTCGGTGCTGCGTTGCCTCTGGAGGATGTGTTTGCCTCGCGGCTCAATTGGGATTGAAGGGAGCTTTCTTTCTGCTCGATAGCTAGGTTTGAATTGTAAGGGATTGGGCTAAATCGACCCATAAATTCTCCCTTGGAGCCCTGCCCGAATCGGTATTTTCTGATCTGATCCACTGCCTCCAGTCGGTCCTCCACCTGTTGGGCCAGATCCATAGCTTCCAGCAAGTTCATGGGCCTGTGCATCCTCACCTCAGCCTTTATATCCTCCCGAAGCCCATTTAGGAAGGCCCCCTTGAAGATGGGCTCAGGCACCCCTCTCATGGACGCCGCCAGAGACTCAAAAGTATCCCGGTAGTCAGCCACTCCTCCGGTTTGTTTGAGCGACATCAATTGTTTAGTCGGGTCCCCTTCGCGCACACGGCTAAATCGCTGAATCACGGCCGTCCGGAGATCCTACCAACTGGTGAAAGGGTCTTGAGTGTCAACCCACTGGAACCACCCCAAAGCTCTTCCCTCCATACATACCGACGCGGCCAAGATCCGTTCATCTTCGATCTCATTCACGGCAAAATATCGCTCGGCTCAGAACACCCAACCATAAGGATCTTCCCCCTGAAAAATAGGAAGCTCCAGTTTCTTCCCGCGAAATTCTCCACGCATCCGCTGCCGGACCGGCAACGGACGGCGTCGTACTTCCTCTCCTTCCCTCCTTTGAACGGGAGGTTCTTCTCGATAACCCGCTCGACCTCGATCCGGTTCGCATCTTGGTGGAGTCCACTCAGGGTTTCTGGCTGGCTCTCTTTCCGGTTGTCCTCCGTCGAAGATCCTCGCCTGTCTCTGCAGCAACTCTTCTATCCTTTGCATTGCCCCTTGTAGCTCACCCACTCGATTATCCATCCTATCGACGTTCTCCTGTAGCTGTGGAACACGATCAACCATAGCTCCCATTATCAGCAAACTTTCATGGACATCTTCCATCCGGAGTTCCAGGGTTGCAATGCGGTCAGGATGCGCGGCTCAGGTGGAACGTTGGCCATGGGATCAGTGTCTCTGATACCAAGCTGATAGAACCCCGGTTGATTCCCGGTATTTCTTTATTGATTTTCTTAGTGCTGGAAGTAAAATGGCAGAAGTTACAGATAGGAGGAATTCGAGGTTCCTCTGCCTCCCTAGACCCATACGATAAGTGAAACAAAACTAACTTGTAGCTAACTCCTTTCCCCTAGACCCTTACGTGACCTCATAACAGAATTGCAACAGATTTGCCATGTCAGCACAACTTCTCAGATTTACACAGCTTCCCCTTAGGAAGTGGTTTTATCCAACTTGCTCCTCCTAGAGTAAACAAACTTGATAGGAGGGACTCTTAACAAAATCTCTGTTAAGTCTTGTTTGTTTGTTATGCTTTTCTTAGTTATGATTTTGACTTGATTATCCAAATGTGATCTGGCAGTTCACAACAATGTCCTTAAAAAGGTTTTAACAGTACTGTTTCTAGCATGGGCTTGTTATTTACCTTTTGTTGGTTTATTAATTTTGTTCCTTTGTTTTTGAGTTTCTTTGCATATCTTAGTTTTGCATTTGTATGGGATTCATTTGGTCCAGGGAGTCTGTCTCTGGGTCTAGTTTACAATGTAGCACTTGTAGAAAGACTTACTTTGGGATTGAGACGCATCTTGAACTGACGGCGGCAAGCGGGGCCAAGAACTATGGTGAACCTATGCCCATTGCCACAGAGCTTTTCAGGTATTTAGTTTCTACAGATTTCAATTTATCTGACCTTCATATGGCATTGCTTTTTCTTGTCTTCCATGGCATCTGATTTATAAGGCGCTTTGTCCAACACCACATGCATATGATGGTATTGGTCTAGTATGCACCAGTTTGTGGTACCCATTTTATGAAATTCTAGTATGGCATGCTTATATTGTAGTTTTTCTATCTTGCTTTTTGGTTTGTTCCCGTATCAGGACCCAATTGGTATCATTTCTCTACGAAAGGGGATGGCGTCAAAGCTTCTCTGTATGGGGTGGTTTCCCTGGCCCAGAAAAAGAGGTGATCCTTTTATGCTCCGCTCTACTCCTCATTTCTTATAGAGGGAATTCCAAAATCTACGAGACCCTTATTGGTTGACGTGTTTATTATCTTTTAGCTGAAGGGAGAAGCAGCCTCGTATTATTAGGCTATAAACAAAGCTTTATCAACAACAGGAATAAACTATTGAGTAGAAGAGTGTCCTGAGAAATGCCCTATTTCGATCAATTTGTGTAAAAGAACAAAAGTTTTTTAGATTTTTTAATGATAAAGTGATTCGTTTGATTTGCTAATAGAAAAATCGCATCTGTATCTTTACATGCATTATTGAGGATTGAAATGTTATGTGTATATATATACATATATATGGGCTAGATCACAATTTTACTTGCAATTTAAGCTGCTAAACATGTAAATAACTTTGAATGCAGTTTGAACTGACTAAGAAATTCTTAGAGCCAGTCTTTGGTGGAAATATTGTTGATGCTAGTTGTGGGAGTGGATTATTCTCAAGACTATTTGCCAAGAGTGGGCTCTTTTCACGTGTTGTCGCTCTCGACTACTCTGAGAACATGTTGCGGCAGTGCTATGAGTTTATTAATCAGGAAGAGAACTTTCCCAAAGAGTATGTAATTTGAACTTTATAACTTAATTTAAGCTGTAAACCTTTCCAAAGTTTCAGATACTCTTAGCTGTAGCACTTATCAAAGATCTCTCTCAAATGAGTAATGTTTTTGTGTTTTTAACATATATCTGATGGATTTTGTCTTCTTGTAGGAACATAATTCTGGTGAGAGCTGATATCTCTAGGCTTCCTTTTGTTTCAAGTTCCATAGATGCTGTTCATGCTGGTGCCGCTCTACATTGCTGGCCTTCACCATCGGCAGCTGTGAGTGCTTTTATATAATGTTTTAAACTAAGTATTTTATTTGCTTTAGGTATACCTGAAGCTCAAAACTAGTTATTCTGCATGATACAGAAGCACGATTGTTGCAAGTTCCTGGTTGTTTGAAACCGTCTTTTTGTATATTTGATACGGTGTTCTATCTTTGCGTAGTCTTGGTCCACAATGGAAGGCTCCGCACCTGAGCCTCGTAAGACTCCGTAGAAATGTAAGATGTAAGTGAAGAGAATAGAAGAGGACGTGGTTCATAAGCCTAGTCTATATCAATAACTGACGCAACTCTGAGTCCTCACTACTACTTAATTGAACTTCCATATTGTTACGGGAAGCGACAATAAATAAATAACCATTTTTCTTTCAAGTACAATATTGACTATTACTTGTTTATTTTTTCCTTTTTCTATAAGGCCGTCAACCCAAGAACTTTGTAGTATAAACAGCCTATTGACATGAAAAGAAAAAGAAGAAAGAAGAAGAAAAACCCCTTCCCGTTATGCTCATTAATCACATATCTATGCTTTTGGGTTTTGTAGGTTGCTGAAATTAGTCGAGTTTTAAGACCTGGTGGAGTGTTTGTTGCAACTACCTACATACTTGATGGACCTTTCACTTTTGTCCCATTCTTGAGGGAACTACGCCAGGTACATTGCTTTAACTTGGAGCTTTACATGCTGTGTAACATGTCAATCGAATTTTTCCAGCCAAAAAAAAAAAAAAAAATGCCAATCAAATTTCATACTATGAAAGACTGTGATCATTGTATCACGCCTGTCAAATTTGTCCTAGCTCTAATTCATTGTTTTACTTACACGATTTCACTACTGGATTTAACTTTCCTTCCCTCTGTTGCTTTTTGGAAAAAAAGGATAAAAAATCCTTTGAACTGTACATTACCAGTTACCAGCCCCGTAATACAAAAAAAGCAAGCCGTTTTACGCCAACTTTTGTCCAATTGCAATATTGCACACATGCTCGCTATTGAAGGACTTGAGGTTCAATGCATTAGGATGATTCCCATCTAAACATAACTGTTTCCATTCTTCATTTTATTTTTTTATCTGTCATCTATCACTGTTAGTTAACAATTTGTCCCTTATGCCAGTACACAAGGCAAATATCAGGCAATTATAGCTTCCTATCTGAACGTGAGTTAGAAGATCTTTGCAAAGCTTGTGGACTAGTTGGTTTCACATGTGTAAGGAATGGAGCTTTTGTAATGATCTCTGCTACAAAACCCACTTGAGCATCATGCTTTGCCCTGTCAAAACTTTGGTTTTGGCCTCAAGGGCTTGCATCTAATTAATATGTAATCTATAACTCAAGTAATACGTGTTCAATTTGTACATATGAAAACTTGTATAAGATGCGAACATAATAAAAAGTGGCGGATTCTGATTTGTGATTTCCCGAATAGTTGGCTTTCAATTATGACCATTTTGAAGTATTGTCCTGTTACCAACAATTCTCTCATAGGCTGCTATATTGATACTATGAAATTCTTCACAAAAATGGGACTGTACAGTATCTTATACATTACTGCCAAACTTTGAAATTTTATTTTCTGCTTTCACGCCGGGACTCGCAGATTTCCAAGTTAGTAGTAGCCGTTCTGGCACTTATTTTCCAACGCAAGGAAAACTTCTGCCGTGTAACAGTATGAGAAGATCTGAAATGGATGGACGCGTGATTTCTACACTAGTTATCCTAATTTGAAGAGTTTGAATCTATTTGCATTTTCAAATTACTGCACTAAATCTATACCATCATAAGCTTAGGGTATGTTTAGTAGTAATTTTTAGAGCTCAAAATCAATTCTCTAGCCATCTATAGCTAAAATTTGTATTTAGTAAAAACTATAAAAAATTATTCTTAAAAGAGTTTTTGAAGAATTTACAGCTCAAAGGCAACTTTAACTTTTAGATTATACGGCAATCACTAAGGTACAATTATGAAAGTATACTTGTATAATTACAGTTTACACTAAACACTCAATTGTTTTTTGTAACAGTTTTTTTTTTCAGCACAGCTAATAGTTTTTTTTTTAAATCTACAGTACTACAAAACTGGCCCTTAGTATTGTTGTCTCACAATTTACTGATACCTAGAATTGTGGGAATTCAGCCGGTGTCTGCTTATATGTGTTACTGTGGGGATAGATTGGAGAATGTCAACTGGCGGTACAACAATGTCTTCTCGTCATCACCATCATCATCATCAAAATCCAAACCATCCTCTCCCCCGTATTCCAATTCAATAACAATTCGGTTTCCAACAGATGGTTCTTCCGACTCTGATAATGGAACCTGAGAATTTTGCCCATCTGCAGGTGAATTTCCTGATTCTATTTGCAGCATCTCCGACTCTATTAAAGCTTCCATTTGAGCTCGTTCTCGGTCTCTTGGGTAGGTTGAATACAGGAATGAGTAGATGAGACAACAGAGAGCCATTGGAACTCCTATGGCAGTGTATAGTGCCTTGGCCAATGATGCAGCATTTTCTCTATCCGTAGCAATCTCCTCAGACAGAGAGGACCCTTTAGGAATCGGCCTGTAACCGTAAACATGTTGTGCCAATAACCCAACTACAGGGGGAGCAAATGATGAGAGTACAGACTCAAAAGATCGGTCCAATGCATAGACGCTGGTTCTAGATTTCTCAGGAACGATTTCTGCAAAAATAGGACTGCATAGCCAATACCAACAATGTCAAAATTCCTTCTTACCTTCGACATGTATTTGTTTTCAAGATAAATGAATTGAACATTCTTCCAGTTTCCAATAAGTTACAGGATTGGATTTAAGTCTACTTTGTGTACTTTCATTTTTGTTACTTTGGTAATGACTCTATCTTGAATGATGAACTTGTTTATGCAAATGCTTTAAGTTAACAAATGCAACAGCTTTATGAAATTACTATTAGACACGTATGCTGAAAGTGTAAAGAAGATTGAAATAAAAGAAATGGAATAGGAAAGAGAGATACTTATTTGTAGCTGCTGCATTCCAGGATATGCAGAATCCCATAATAACCAGAATCAAACCATGGCTGAAGCCAGTTGATGGATCATCAGGTAATGCAAGCAGAAGGATGGCCGCTAGAGGAATGGCGGATGCCGAGCTTATTTGAGCTAAGATTATCCTTCCAGCATTCCGTAAACGAACAGAAAGGATATCGCCCATTTTACCCCCAAACAGGCCTCCAAGGGAACTAAAAACCACAAACAAGCCTATCAGGAAAGCGGTTTTCTCATGAGAGAAGCCCATAAGCTCCAACCACATCGGTGCAAATGACAGAGCTGACCAGGGAAATGAACCGGTGACACCCTGTGCTACAATAATCTGGAAAGATGGAATTTTGATTACTTCCTTGGCTTCTTTTGCCAGTTCCTTGACTTCTGACCAAAAGGAATTGCCAGAAGTCTGGTCGCTGGGCTTTGTCCCGCTAGGAAAGTGTGGATCAGTGGCGTAGAGACGGACTAAAACCCCTACTATAACACTAATTAGTCCAACAATATGAAAGGAAAGCCTCCAACCAGGGATTCCCATGAACGTTATTGGAGATATCAGTATAGAGGAGAGCCCACCGATTATGGAGCCAACGTTTCCGGTGAGTTGGAGCCATCCAAATGCCATCCCACGGTTACTATCATCAGTCGAGTCAGCCACGAGGGACTGGATTGCCGGAGCGACTAAAGCAAGGCCTATTCCGTTTAAAGCTCTTGATATAGCCACCTGTTGAGTAAAATATGGATGACTTTAAAAGTGAAATTCAATCAGCTGGTCTAAGAGAAGAATAATGATATCCTTTCAAAAATTTATTTTGTTGTTTCCATTTTAGTTGACTAAAACTAAATCCATGATTTCTGGTGACCCGCTATGTAAAATTACAATTTCAAAACACAAACCAAGAGCACAATGAGACTTAATTCTTCTCAAATTTCATCAAGAAAATCAAATGGTGAGACAAATTTTCTTTCCCATCTCGTCCCTCCAATATTGCTGGAAATTACATGATAGTAAATTCAACAAAAGATTCCAATTTAGTTTCCTTTATACGCGCGGGCGCGCACACACAATATACTATGCAAAAATGGAAAGAACGAACCTATAATAAATTCAGAAAACAATTCATCATAACAAAAAAAAAAAAAAAAAAAACACTTCCAATCAGCAATCTGTGAGTCTAAACCCCTTAAAACGAGTCGCTTTGCTGAGAACGGAAATTTCGCGCCAAATCACATCCAATATTTACCGCTCCAACCACTCCTTTCTTCTCAATCCATTTGCCCGCCCAGCAACAAAACGAAGGACAACGCAGAAAAAAAAAAAAGGGGAAAGAAAGAAAACCTGAAGGAAAGTGGAAGAGAAGGCGACGAGGAAAGTGGCGGCGGCCCAGAGGAAGGCGCCGAGAGCGATGACGTGAGCACGGTTGTGGCGAACGGCGAGATAGGCGGCGATTGGGTAGCAGAGAGACTGAACCATTGACCGCAACAAAGTCAACGACCCAAGCCCGGTGGGGTTCGTGTGGAGAGCCGCCCCCACCTCCTTGTATGCACCTGGCAAGAGTGACTCGTCGGCTCTTTCCATTATTCCGGCCAGGTTCACCAGCAACATTGTCACCGCCTCTTCCCTCATTTTCTTTATTCCTTTTCTGATTCTTCCCAACGACAACCTCAAACGTCACGAGTACTTTGTTGCTGCTACCTACTATTCTCGGATCATTTCTGCTGCAGTCTTTTTAGCATTTGGACTATGGGCCTTTATGCTATATTGGTCTTTGATTCCAGATATATCAGATTACAATGGGCTTTAGGCCTCATACCATCAGTGGAGATCTCAGAGCCCGCAAGGAGGGACATCGAAGAACTATGAACCACTTGAGGTCTTTTTTTATTATTTTTTTATTTATTTTAAGATTGGTGATCAAGAAACAGCTAACTACGATAGAGTTTTAGTTATGTTCTGTTGAAGTTTCGCGAACCAAAAATAGGAAGAAATCTTTTAATTACAAATATAAGGAAGCTAGTGAAGAGTGAAATATTGGACTATTGGTCTAAGTCGCCATTTTTTAAACAATTTATTAATGATCAATAGCTTGTAAAAAAATATTTCAAATTGACCACTTAATTCCTAGCGTCCACTACTCACTCGGGTTGAACACCAATCAAATAACACTTTAAAACTACCAAGTCTCAACTATGATTTTGCTTCTCTTAGCCATTAATCAATAGAATATATTCATAAATTGAGCCACCAACAGATTGTCCATTTGTATTTTTTTTTCTCACCTGATTATGTATTTGTTTATATTTATAACGCATACACCTATTTCTAATAGGCATCTTTCAGTAAAAATGGTTGAACTTATCTTTAGAATACATGAGTTTAAATTTGTATCCCTCTCTTTATCAATATCATTTTGATTAAGGCCTTGTTTAGTTCAACAAAAATTGTTGATTTAGTTTGAGTTGTGGTGATTTTAATTGTGATTCAAACTGATGTTTGAATATGCAAATAAATTGTAATTTGAATTATGAATAAAATCTGAACTGTATTTGAATAAAGTGTTGAAAATTATTATTATAGTTTTGTAATAAATCTTATAAAACCTCATTGTAAATAAGGTTTAAAAATATGCAATATAGATGGAGATTTGTTCCTCTCTTCATTATGAACATATAGAAAAAAAAATCATCTCAATTGGATTTGAAATGAAGAAGTTATAACATTCTTAATCTTAAAGTTAAAGAGAGAAAAAAAAAAACAAAAAACAAATATTTTGAATTGTTCTCAACAATTCAAATTGTGAATTTTAAGGGGTATGAATTCTAAAATTAACTATTTGAATCTTAGTTGATAGTTTGAATAGTCCTTCTTTTTATTTTTAAAACAGACACTAATTTAAACATTTAAACACAATTCGAGTTGAATTGTTTAATTTGTTCAAATAGTTGAAGTAAACATGAATTGAGTTATTTAATTAAAAAAGATATTAATTAAAAATAAAAAATAAAAGTTTAGATTCATACATATTTATCTCTTATCTCATTAAATAATATTAACTTTTCCACATTACTTCATGATTAGTATAATATGACACTATATCCATATTGAAACTATAATCTCCTCCAAATAAGATCCCGCAACAGAAGGTAAAATCACAAGTGAATGATAAAATCGAATAAACGCGCGCGCGCATATATATATATATATGTGTGTGTGTGTGTGTGTGTGTGTGTGTGTGTGTAATAATACGGGTAAACTATAATCTTCTTCAAAGATATATGGTTATGTTCGCAAGAGAATTTTAATCAGAAATTGAACTCTTCTATACTATTGGCCAGGTTGGATGGGAATTCAGAGAGAGAAAAGGTTGGACAGTTTAGCATCGAAGATGGGGAGCCATGCACGAACGAAACAGAAGAGAAGTGAACTGAAAGTGGCCCAGAAGTGTGTCACCATCGGACTCCCAAATATCCACCACCATCATTGCTTTCGTACAACTTTTGCCCCCAACGCCCAATTGACGGTAAAGAAGCGAGGCTTTCTTGGCCCCACCACACCAACTGTGACCCACCATGTAATCGCACAGCTAGCTATCATTCTCATCTCACTCGTGGGACATATAGTTCCCTTACACGTGCCTGGCCCCTTTGATTTACTAGACTCATATTTCCCGTTTAATTTTAGTGTTATAAATATGAGATCTTTTTTTATTATACTGGTCAGTTAAATTTTTTATTTATTAAATTTATCATTAAAAAGATACATTTGAAAATCTTTTTAGTGGACTTTTTGGTGCTTTAATTTTTAAGTGTACTAATTAATAAATTCACATTGTATAATTGTTTAGACACCATTTAAACACTAAAAATTAGACAAAAGATTCAAATCTTAATTTACATATGCCAACAGTTCCCAAACGCCTTGTCGTCATGCCCTTTAATCCCGCGTTAATTAGGTTATATATTATTTTCAAAATCTAATTATTCATTCGTATTACTTTTGATGTAAAAATTAAGCTTAAATTTTATCAAAAAGTAGAATGTTTGAATTTTTTTTTTTTTTGGCAACTCTAATTCATCCTTAATTTTTTTAGTAATCTTAATAAATACCTCTCAAAAATGAATGAGTTAAAATTTTTATTTTTTACTCTTAATTTATAATTATTTTAGTTAAATAATTACATTAATAAAATGATATTTATTATGAGTAAAAATAAAAAGGTTTTTCTTTCGGCACCCCAAGAGGCTGGAATCTGGATTTGGGCCTTAGGCCTATTGGGCCGCAGCTCTGATTTCGCTAGCTGTCGTCTGAAGTGGTTCTGACGTTGTTTTGTGCGTCATGTGACTGTGACCAACCACCCGTTACTATATTCCACCCCTTTTTATGTTATGTTTTTCCAGGTCCTACGTAAATTCATAGGATTTGGCAATTTCGGTGTATTGGATTCCCATCCCCTAATGGCTAATCATGATTAAGAAGCTCAAAATATTAATTTAGCACCAAAAAAAAAAAGTATCTCAAATTATTGAAGCCTCCATTATCCCACAATTTAACGTTCAATTGAGAGACGTACACACACACACAGAAAGACGTCATTATTGTTTTAATATATTTTGTGTGCATAAATTGTATAAATAAACGGAGTTAATTAATTAATTAGATTTACCTGAAATTTGAAAAGAAGCCAACCAACATTCAAAAGGAAAGATAGCAGCATCTAAGGACTAGAATCATGAAGGTCCTCTTGTGACTTTAATTATCAGTTTGGCCTTTTCAATTACCAGATTGTACCCAACCTAGTCCAAGAAACGAGCGCAATGATTAGCCATTTGAAACTTTGAAGTTTTGGGAATGAACAAATGCTAATTTGAACTGGGGTATTAGCGTATGATCATATTATCATTCATGATCATTAAAAATTTAAAACAGTTTAATAAGGTTGTCAAATTAATTAAGAGAGTTTGCAGTATTAGTTATATTTGTATACTTGGTAATTATGATTTAATAATTGAACAAAAATTTAGACATCAATCTGACAGAACTTGACTTAGAGACACAGTAAAACAATAAATAAATAAGTAAAAGAGTCTCTTTAGTCATTCCAGCAAATTCTTCTATCACTTGAATATATAGGCGACCTCTAGCTACATGATGATATTTATTCTCTTAATTTATAATAATAATAATAATAATAATAATAATAATAATAATAAATTCAATCTGCATGCTTTAATCATCCGTTCGAGAGGGGAATCAAGCTCTTCTTTTATCATTTTTTTTCCTGCTTGAATAAAGCTTCCATTTCTATTAGTTTCTTCTTCTCGTGATTTCAGCTGTATACATAAAAAGGCCACACACACACACACACACACACATATATATATATATATATATATATCTATCTACACACACATGAATATTCTCGCTCTCCGGAACATTGCAATCTCAATCCTTAGTGGCTGCTGTTAAAACAGGTTACATATCTATCTTCTGATGTTTAGAGGAAGAAACGTAGTGGGGGACAGGTGGGGTTCTTCTAAAGTAAAAACTAACCGTTCGTTGAGAACATTATAATGTCTCTAGAAACGCAAAATTTGAGAAATGTTACTGAGCACAAATGAATTCTTTTCTGGAATTTACGAATTGGTTAATCGTACTTAATTCTTGAACGTTCATATTTATATGGGCCTAACGATCAGGCGGCGGTGCAAAGAATAGAATAACTTTTTCCTCTGTTTTTTCTAATATATTAAGTCAATTACTAACTTTTCCTCCTCTCTTTTTTCTTTTTTTTTTTTTTATTGAAGCAATTATTTTGCTCTTTTTTTTTTGGTAAAAATTATTTTGCTTTTGGGTAATTGGACATGTCCATATTGATATACATATACCAACCACTGAAAGCTATGAACTTGAAAATCATAATACATAAAAGAACTTGAAATTAATAATACATATACCTGTAAATATAAATGTATATGTATATACATATGCACGTTGTGTAAATATTTATGTAATGTTTATCATCAGTACTATAAATCCATTAGAAGCACATATACAAAAATAAATTGGAGATTACACGTGTATTAAGATGTAAAAGTAATAAAATACAACAACCGAAAGTATCTAATTTTGGATTAGTAAAAGCATAATCAAAATTCATTCCAATAGTTTTAAAATATTCAATTGAGTAAACTGGATCGGTCGGATCTATTAGATAACTAAGCCGGTTTGTTTGTAACTTGACTAGTTAAAACTTCTCTATAGCCAACCATGGAATTCCACGTGCTCAAAGAGTCTTTATTTGGCCTTCCTTCTAATTTGCTATAAGCAGGCATTTTTCTTTGTGTTTTTTTTTTTTTTTTTTTTTTTTTGGTAGACAAGTACTTGGCAATTTTACCACCTTATACGTCTTGCTTGAACAAAGTGACATTTCATGTTATCAGTTCTTGGTGTTTTTCTTTTCCACGGACACACTTTTTCTTTAGTGGGCTACCTAACTGCACTACGATAGAGACATGACTAAAAACGCCAATGCAATAAATCTGAAAAAGAACTAGTATAATATAATATGCTATTAATGTTACCTCCGTCTATGACATAACCCGTATATTATTTCTTTTGTTTGTTGGGTTTGAACTTTGACCATATTATAAAATACTATGCTTATGACTAATGTATCCACCACTATATATGACTTATTTTTAACTGCCAATTATCCCATTAGATTATGTTGCAGTTTTCACCAATCGTTTAGGTTCAAAACCTTTTTTATCCCACTGTAAGATCACAAGTTTATTATTTTTATGGTGTACTTATTACTTAACCAACCCTCCTAATAGAATTGTCAAAAAGGATCCGAACCTTCTTGTCTTTTTATTTATTTATTTATTTTAAATAGAAATCTAGCCACGAGTTCTCGGTTAGTGTTCAAATCAAGACTTGCGTCATTTTGCCATCTTCTTTGATCACCGCTTACGTATTTATCATGTCAATTTACATATGTAACACAAAAAATTGATGATTTTTTTTTTTAAAAGTAACGGAATAAATAAGTTGAAAAGGAGCGCTAGATATTTGGCGATAACCCTATGTTTAAAATTCTGTGTACGTTGCCCCCATGGCACGCAAATCCCAATATATTAACTTCGAGTTAAAGGAATTTCCGTTGAGAGAATGAGAATAGAAAATGTGATTGTTGTGTTCCGTAGGACTATTATTTTTATGTAAAAGAAATGTTCCTACTTCCCGATTTAGCATGTAAAAATTAGCTTCAGCAGATCTCAAGGCAAGATTGCAATATGCTTTTTGTCCCATGCCATCAATATATATTTGAGTGTGTGCTTTAAGAGATAGGAAGCAATGGAGGGAGAGGGAGAGAGAGAGAGAGAGAGAGAGAGAGAGAGAGAGAGAGAGAGAGAGAGAGAGAGAGAGAGAGAGAGAGAGAGAGAGAGAGAGAGAGAGAGAGAGAGAGAGAGAGAGAGAGAGAGAGAGAGAGAGAGAGAGAGAGAGAGAGAGAGAGAGAGAGAGAGAGAGAGAGAGAGAGGGAGAGGGAGAGAGAGAGAGAGAGAGAGAGAGAGAGAGAGAGAGAGAGAGAGAGAGAGAGAGAGAGAGAGAGAGAGAGAGCATTTTGCTTTTTTGGGTCAAGAAACTTGAGGGCAGACTGAGGACAACTGAGTGAAAGGCAGATAGCTATGAGAGAGAGAGTGAAGCTAACAAACATCATTGCTAAATACCGTATTATTCTCTGGCATGGGCCATATAGTCACCATTATATATATTCTAAAAGGGTTGTCACATGTCACCACATCCTCTCAAAACGTCTTCATCTTCCAAAATCTCATCCTTTTTTTTTTTTCCCTTTATGATTATTATTATTTGTTTTTTTCTATCTCTTGCCTCTTACACGGGTGCTCACAACATGAACCGGCTTAATCACCGGAATGTAGTCCAGAATCTCATGGCTAATAATTTCTCTGCATATCATCATAAAAAATTATCCCATAAATGGTTATTCATATTTCTTTTTTGTCCTTTTCTTTACAATTCTTTTATAAATTTGTAACCTAATTCCCATGCTTATAAATTCCTAATAGCTGTCATAATATTCTCTCTCCCACACCCCTCAATCAATGTGCATGAAGAATTAATGACTATGCTTGACTTTTTGGTACCCATCAGCTAATTATATATTATTATTATTATTACCCATGGTCTTATTCCGTCCACCTATTTACAGGTTATAAAAGAGTATAATCCGACTCTTAAATCAGTGACAGGAACCAAAAAAAAATTGTAAAGCTTAGTCAAAATTTACTGTTAAGTTACTACAAATTGTTCAAAACGAGATTTCATGTTTTAAAAAATATTACTTACTAACCATATCATGGTTACTCAAGATTTTCTCAATTTACATAAGTATCATTAATCAATTGATCTCTAATTTAATTGCGTAGCCAGCTTCATAATATTCATAGGAAAAAAATATCCTCTCTACAGTAGCAGTAACAAGAAGTATAATTAATACTATGTTAAAATTGGATAAACAAATAAATATGTGTTATTTATATTCAGTTAGTTATTTAAATTAGAACATCTCTAATATAATATTATAATTGATGTGTCAATTACAAATTTAACATTTGAATATAAAAAAATACTCTTAATTATAATGCTAAATTTTTTATATACTATATTTTATGACAAATTTTCACTAAATATAGCATGAAAATTTTGACATTTAATTGTTATTAAATAAAAAGTTTATTTTTTCATACAATTATTGTAATTTTTATATTTTTTAATTATTTTAAAAACAAAAAGGTTTGAACACATGAGCTGGATCAAGGACAGTAATTTCTTTTTTTGCGGCTCCAGCCATAACTTGAATCAATCTAAATACGAGTCAGCATCCCAAGAATCAATATTATATAAGATTCCAACATAAAACAGAATCTTTTCTTGATCGAATCGAATATATGGAGATCGGAATGTGGTTCACAAGCTCATGATAATATTTAAGTGATGATCAGGTCATGATATCAACGTTTAATTTGCTACATGCATGTTGGGCTTCCTGTAGAACTGTTTAATTGGCTTTCCACTTATGGCAGCTGTTATATTTTTACAATTGTGTAGTTGTACGGAACGAATAATAAAAGTAAAAATTGAGAACTAATGAAGATCCCTAATTATAAGCATATGAGATTAGAGTTCGTTTGGTTGGGTTGGAGTGTTCAAGAAATTTCAAAATCTTTATTTTTTTTTTATAAAAGTAAAAAATGGTTTGAATCATTTGATATGACATTTAAACTTAAAAAAAAGAATTTTTAAACTCACATCATCCTTAAGTTCTTGAGATTTGAACTCATGGTTCAAACTCACTCTGATTTGAACCACTTTAACGAACAAATTCTAAAAAGACGTTTAATTCATAAATTAGAATCATGTGATTAAAATTATTTTTGATTTACGTGTATTTTTTGTGAGAGAAAATACTGTAACGAATTACGAATCATGATTCGAATCAGAAAACGAATCCCCTAACCAAACAACCTCTAAGTATTTTCTTAAAAAAAAACATAGAAGACTAGGAGAACACATAGGAAAAGGCACGAAAGGTGGGGTATTCTTCAAAAATAAAAATTCTAAAATTAGAGACATCAATTAAAAGCAATTCATTTTCCTTCTTTGAGTTTCATGTCTACGTGTCAAATAGTGATTACAGAAGTGACAAAGAGTGATATTAATATTTCTCTTGCACTCTTTTCTTTTTCTTTTTCTGTGACAATAATATTAAGGAAGAATGGGACTATATAGTATATATATCAATAGGGTTCTTTTACATTCTAGATGTAATATTGTTATTGGTACTTTATGATCGAGGGCAGCAAGTAGGGATTAATTCCCAATCTTAGTTCATTCACAAATGAAGAAAACTATTTAGAAGCTATCTAAAAACATAGCACCAATTCTATAAGGATCTAACTGAAAAGTAACATACAAAGTTTACACCATTCGTTCCAAAAACTTAAGAGAGTCAAAAAAATGGAAAGGACAAGACATTAATCAAAGAAAACGATTTAGAAGTTGTGTGGGCACACTTCTAATTGCCTTTTCACCAACAAAGTCCACAGCCATGTTAACGTATAAGTTGAAAAACAAGGAATTCCTGGACCATGTATATTGTTCTCAGCTACATATGTTCATTTCGATAAGGACCTGTATTCATATGAGTAATTCAGGCATACAAAAGGACACTATTGTTTAGGTCTTGCAAATAAAGGCCATGTCTTTATTTGAAAACAAATCACCGACCGAATTACTTTCTTCCATTGGATAAGATAAGAGCTGCTACCGAATTTTTCTCATTGTGGTTCTTAAGTTTCAATATGGTAATGTTTATGTTCTCTTTTCTATTATTTTGCACAGTGATACACAGAATGCCAATGAAGCATAATGTATAAATAGATCATTGTGAACAACGGAATTGCCATGAATGTCATTTGAAAAGGGACAAAAGAATAAAGAAGCGCTAAAACTGAAAAAATTCATCCGTAATCATACTCTTTAATCCCAACTAACGAAAAGAAGTACATAATTACTAGCTAGATATATATCTATACAGACCTTTAAAACACTAGCTTTTTTGCCTCATAATTGATCATTTCATAACAACCCCCCCTCCGAAAAAAAAAAAGTAGGACTTAAACATAATGATAACAATCATGTTGTTGCAAAATTATTAAGAAGTGATGACTACGCTTAAGATGATCAACACAAACTCTTCACCACATTAATCATCACTTCCACCACACCACCACTATCTCCACCACATGTTCCAATATTTACCATTTATGCTTTCCAACACAAGAAACCCTATTTCACCTATTCCGAAGGAAAGATCCAGGGATCCACCGTACCTTCATTCCTCGTGGAGACATTGATCTCCAAGCCCTTCTCAGCCTGAAACTCCGATGGATTCGCCGCCGCTGCCGCCGCGTAATTCAGTTTACAGCTGTCTCCGGAACCCGCACCGTCGATTCGCCAGAGATCCTGGCGAGTCAAGGGTACTACTGTCCCATCAGACGCTACTTGCAGGTTCGAGTTAATCCCACCGCGATGGTAGCTAGCGTTCACCTCCTGATTATCAAGGGCTGAAGTAGTAGTTGACACGGTTAAATTATTTCCTTGCCCCCGCTTGGCTCCAAACCCGGTCATGTTGAGGGAATTAGGGTGTAGCGGAAGAGACTGAAACGCCACATTGTTAACACCCGGGTTCTGCATGTTTAGCATATTTCTAGGCTGTCTGCTGATCAGATGATGATGATGATGATGATCGGACGGCGATGGTTGGAAGTTCAACGATGACGTGGCGATATTAGTAGCGTCCACCATTACATTGCTGAATAACGGAGAAGAGGAAGAAGATGAAGCAATGTTACCAAACGGCGATGTTTGCGGCTTCTGCGCCGAGGGACGGAAAGGGTAGAAAGGTCCTTCCAAATGAGAGGCGCCACCGGTCCGGATAGCCGAACCGGAGCCACCGAAGAGATCGAGGCGCCGAGAGAACGACGAGGCCGAAAAAGGAGGCGCGGGGATCCCGGTGAATTCTTGCACCATTGCCCGGAAATTCGACGTGTCGGTTGTCAGAACCGTCGTCGGTGCTCTTCTCGAAGCTCTGGCCCGCTTCTTGGAGTTCCGAACGACTGTCGTCTGAGCTGATGAAGTAGTCGCAGCAGCAGTAGAAGTATTGCCTGATCTCAATGCACCAGTAGTAGTAGTATTAGCTTCGTTGTGAAGTGATGATGAAGGTTGTTGTTGTTGTTGTAAGTGAATCGCCGATGGACCTGCAGCGTAAGATGAAGATGTTGGTGGGCCCAGCTGATAGGGTTGTTGTTGATGATGGTGATGATCAGATCTTAGGCCGTCAGATCTTAGGTTGAGAAGGAAATTACTGGGGTTTGAGTTCGGTTGGAGATAATTGGAAGGTGGAGAGAGATCGAAGAGATGATGGGAAAGAAGGTGTGAAGGGTTTGATTGAGCGGAAGAGGCAAAGTGGTGGGTTGAAATTGAAGAAGAAGAAGAAGGATTTAAAAAAGATGGGATTGATTCGTTTCTAGAGTCGTACTCTTCATCTCCACTTGAAGACATGCTTCCACTGTTACCAGAATCCATGGCTCTCTATATTTTGCAAAATTAAAGATGAGAGAGAGAGAGAGAGAGAGAGAAAAAAACAAAAAAAGAGAAGAAGAAACAAATAGAATATAGCTGAAAACCTGAAAAGGATTCAAGTCAAGAAGAAGGGAATAATGGAATATTATTATTGGTTATTGGAGAGGGTTTGTATAGGTTCGAGAAGGGAGAAGAAGAGCACAGCTTTTATTACGAGGAGATCATTAGAAGAAGAGTACCCCGTATAAGATCTTTTTTTTTTTTTTTTTCGAAAGCCTGATCTGGAACGACGAAAGCAAAAATCTTTCCCTTGTCTTTCTTTCTTTCACTTGGAACCCCAAAGTTTTTGTATGAAAAGAAGAGAAAGCAAAGAAAAAGGAGAAAATAAGATACGTATGTAGCTAGATCTTAATCATGGCTATGCAAAGGGGACTGATGATGAAGAGATGTTTGAGTAGAGAGAGAGAGGGTGTATGTGATCTCCTTTTTCGTTCTGAGTTTGTTGGGAAAACTTTTTTTTTTTTTTTGTTCTTTCACTTTTTCTTCATCTCTTTTGCTTTGTGTTCTGAGCTAGGGTGGATTGGAGGGGAAGGGGGGTGGGGGTTTCAGAGAAGCAAAAGGGAAAAGAAAAGAAAGGAAGGGAAAGTTTATTTAAGCTTTGTGCTCAGACTAAGAGGGACCTCAAAGTTTAGAAAGATCCTCTAGAGGATACAAGGGTCATGGTGGGGTCGCCATCCGGAGTAGAGAAAAAGTGGTGCCGGTGGCTGGCAACGGGTCAAACTCAAAGTGAATGAGAGAGAGAGAGAGAGAGAGAGAGAGAGAGAGGTTGGCCAATGTGTTGTGAATATGAAAGGAAGAAAGTGACTGAAAGGTTTTAAAAATTTTGGAAATGTGGCATATATACCCAATAATATAAATTTCTCTATGGTGGGGTGAAATTAATTAATATATAAATATGAAATTCCATTAGAAAAATGTATGGGTCATGTGTCAAAGTGAATCAAGAACAAATAACAAAGAGAGAGGGCATAAAGGAAAAAGGTGGGCTCAAATCTATATATCAATTGGGTAAAACCAGAAGTGAACAAAATCACTATTCTATTACCAGTTATAACTTTTAAAGCTTCCCTTCCATGTTCTTCATACCACCAACCAACAGTTTTGAGACAGAGAGAGGATTAGTATAAAACTCAAACTGAAAATAAAATGGATAACCGTATCCGGGATGTGTTTGGTATGACTGCTTGAGAAGATGAGAGCCATGGAAATAAAATAATAAAATTTTAGAAAGGAAAATTCTCTGAACCATTGACCAGTCAAAGCTCAAACAAGGAGAACCTTCAACCGGTAGGAATTCTTAAAAAAATGAAAATGTCTAGAATTCTACTCTTCATGCCAAAGATATCTAGTTTACTGATCAATCTCAAAAGCTTAAATTATTAAGTGGTGGGTCAACTATAATTTTATACTTTAACATTCTTCCTCACGTGTGGGTTGGACAATGGACAATCATGTGGGTAAATTAATTAAAAAACTCGACACGTGAATATTTAAGTCTGAGATATATTAAAAACTCAACACATGATGATAATTTTATATGGGGATAAAAAGTGTAATTACAAAAATTTAAACTCATAACCTCTTACTCTAATATCATGTTAATTTATTAATCCATTCTAAAAATTTAAACTGTTAAAAAGTGAACTAACAATAATTTTATACGTTAACAATATTAAACTGAACCTTTAGATCCATATGAAATTTTGTCAACATTATGCACTTTTTACCATTTTGCACATAATTGCCACCGTAAAAATTCAAAAAAAAAAAAAAGTCTCTTTTTTCTTTTGAAGAGGAAAAAAGGCTCAATCATAAGTGTTGGGAAGAATTCAGGATTGAGAAAAACGATTCTTATTTACCATTTTGCACACTCTTTCTCGTTGTTTGCTCTTTATTTGTTGGTCTAATATTTGAGGGTAATTTTTCTTTTTAATTTAGTGATGGAGGATTTCAACTCCACTTTTTATGATGAAGTCAGTGTGAAATTACTACTAAGTCAGCAATTATTTTCGAGGGTAAAGTACTTTTTTTTTTTTTTTTTTTAACTAGTATGGTATTATGTGGTTTATATTTAGGAATATTAATAACCGTTTTTTAGTAAGCCAAACTTATATAATTTATTAGGGAGATTTTCTAGTACGTTTGACTGATAAGTCGGGTTTTTTAACCGTTAAATTTATATATTTTTTAATTTTACGTGATTTTATGTAGATCTGACGGACATAAAATTTAACTTATCATACCGGAGAAAATCCTAATTTGTTATTACCCTCAATTAACATTACTTTATATCTTACCTTTCCCTCACTTTACCTCTACCAATAACAACAAATAGCGTTTTCTCTAGGGAATGTAATAACAAATAATGGTATTTTGTCATTAAGACGACAAAAAGAAAAATGTTAGTTTCGTGTATGATGCTAATATTAATTGTCTTATTAAATTAGATTTCACAATTATAATATCACGTGTACTATAGAAGCATCCTCACGGTACCATTTTTTTTTCCCCTCCTTTATTATGATTAGTGGCTATAATCGACATCCTCATTTCTATATTAAAAATCCATAAAATCTAAACGCAATTGCTATATAATAATATTCAAATATCCCAGATTATTTTTACATCTTCCATGGCTGTACGAAATATGTTTGTGTGATCTGCATTTAATATATATATATATATATATGTCGTCTGAGTTTGTACCAATCAAATTGAGGCTTTCACACATGACATAATCCAAGTATATCCTTTATCGTTCATATGTACAATAATGGATAGGGATTGGGGTGTCAAAAAGCTGCGGCCGTGTGTGTATGCCTAAGCTGAAAAGGAGCACACAATATGGTATTCTATTGCTCTCTGCTTCAGCAAATTCTTTCGATCATTTATAAGTTACAATATCTGTTCCACTACAGTGGAAGTTGTAATGGTTGGTGTATTGTGTTGTGCTATATATATATATATATATATATATATATATATATATGACCCTTTTTCATGTGTGGTCTGAAAGCAATTTGGTGCAGATGACTGCAACCCAGAATTAATAAAGATTAGTGGCACCATTTTGGAGACAAAGACTGATTTATTAACACGTGCTTGTATGAAATGCGGCATCCAGACATTGGCTATGTGTTGTTTTTCTATGTATATATTATACGCTGATAGTTGCTCATTTTTGTATTTTTTACTTGCTTATATGATATGTATTTCTGTACATAAACGGGTATTTTGCCTTTTTCTTGGAGAAGTTTATTATTTGAGTTTCCCACTCTCCGTCTCTCTTTTTAACTAACTTTATGAGCCTCAGGAAAGCAGTTTAACTAACTTTCTGAGTTTCAGGAAAGAAGTCGTTTCCCCCCCGGTTGTATATAGGGTATGCATAGCGCGGTGCGGTGCACTTAAACTGAGTGTACCTGATACACTGTCGTTAGCCTACCAAAATTGTAGTTCTCTAACACTACACGTGGTTGGCAAGTATGTCAAACGGGTTTATCAATTGAAATACCCTTTAAAATGCATAATTCTTAATTTTTACATTTACTTTTGATTAACACTTTTTTTAGTCAAATATTGTATTAATAAAAGAGTATTAATAAAAATTAAAGAGTAAAAATCTAAACGATGTACTTTTAAATGTAAGTTTAATAATTTTCTCATTGAAAGAAAATTAGTTGTTGATGTCGTCTTATTTCAAATATCGTGTGATCTAGAACCGCATACGACACATCTTTTCTTCTTAAATAGACATTTTGGGAAGAAAACAATGTCCTACTATTTGGGATGATATACGACACGTTCTTTCTCAGAAAAAGAAAATATGTAATTTGAATCACATGTAGTTTGAGTGAACTGATTGTGATTAACAAAAAGCCTTGTTCGCTTTGGTGATTTGAGTTTTCAATTTGAATTGAGCTATGATATTTTTTAATAGTTTTTAACTGTAGCATAAAAAGATATATGTGATATTTTTTAAGAGTTTTTAACTGTATAATCTTAAAATTAAAAACTCAAATCAGTAAAATAAAGGGTTTGAATGTCATGTTGCTCATACTAGGGCTAAAGGACATTTTTTTTTTATTTGGTTTTAGATAGACCTTAAAATGACATGTCATTTCATGACTTAAAAATTGGGAAATAAAAAAGCCCGGATGGAGTTTTGACTAGACATTATCTCTACAGCTGAAAGTTAAAAGTCAAAACGACAAACAAATTTGCTATTGAATTCTTTTACCTTTTTACAAAATCGTTTCTGCAGGCAAACATGGAGGTATCAATCATTTTCAGGAAGCCTCATAACTTGTTATTTGTTGGGCTGTCGTGGCTCTACTTAAGCTTTAAAAAAAAGGAAACAAATACTTATGAGTATGAATGTTTATCTTTTATTTTTAATTAATATTTTTTAATTAAATAGTAATATTAATAAAAAAAATATTAATTAATAATATAAAAATAAAAATTTCTGAGTACATAAGTTCAGTAATTTTCTCTACAGCTTCTAGCCTTTTCGCGTCAGAGGCCTTATGAGTGTTCCATTCAACACAACCGATAGCCCAATATCCCCAGCTCATCTGCAAAGGTCCACACTAATTAACATGTAGAAAAAATATAGAATTTATTTTTAAAATTTTTACCTTTTATTCTTGTTAAATGTGCTTTTATTAGCGTAATTATTTAACTAAAAAAGTTATAAATTAAAAATAAAAAATAAAAATCTCAATCCATATACTTTTAAAGAGTATTTGTCAACATTATCATTACAACTATGCATTTTCATTTGTTGTACGCCTTTTTGGATCGTCGAAATTTCCTTGTCGACTCTATGAAAACCCAACTATATCCATCAAAACTCTCAATCCCTTTCCAAGTGGTCTGAACCCAAAAAAATTAAGTGTAAATTCAGGCCCAGTAACCCTAATGTTGGAATATTCAGTATTTTGGGGTCAGAAACAAAATTAAAAATGGCTAAACTCAACTGAAGAGCCTTAAAAATAGCCTTAAAAATGTCCGCGTTGAGTCGTTGGGTTTCCTTTCCGCGTTTCAGTCCCAAAAGTCTTACTTTGCGGCTATAATGTTCTTCAACTTGAGGGTAGTGGGGTACAAATCCAAAGGTAAATTTACTTCCTTTCTTTCCTCTATTCGATTTGATTTTGAATAATTTTAGGCTCCGTTAATTTCACCGATTCGAGTTTAAAATTTAAATTTTACTATAATAAAAAGTTCTAAAAAATAGTCACATTTATTTTTTTTTGTTACAGTAAAAAGTTATCATATAAAGTCACATTTCAACTCAAATTAAAAACTCGAATCAACGAATTAAACGAGTCTCTATATTCTAATAACTTTAAGGATATGCATAACAATGAAATATTTATATATCATAAACCAATATCATGCTTTTAAAAGCAATAATACATAGAATAAATATCTACGTTATAACACTATTTATTTATTTATTTTTACATGAAATATGAGTGTAGTTTAAATGCTTACTTTAATATTTATTCATCAATAGATATTATTATTTTAGTTTTAAGATATTGATCAGACAGTTGTAATAAATTGAATAATTTGATAATT